CGAGAGCAGCAAGCGGGATTCCGGCCTGGTAGGGGTTGTGTTGACCAAATCTTCACACTGCGTCAGGTGCTAGAACAACGCCATACGTATAAGCGACCCACGATTCTAGTATTCCTGGATTTCCGAGGCGCATTCGACTCGGTTGATCGGTCTGTTCTTCTTGGGACGCTTGCCCGCCAAGGAATGCCCCGGAAGTTTGTAAACATAATACGCTCCTTGTATTCTCAGACTTCCGGACGTGTGACTGTATACGGAGAGCTCTGCAAAAGCTTCTGTACCCAAGGTGGTGTCCGTCAGGGATGCCCACTCTCTCCATTCCTTTTCAACTTTGCGATCGATGAAATAATGAGACGAACGTCGAAGGGTCTCCTAAACCCTAGTGTTCAAATAGCCTGTGAAGAAAACCCTGTCGATCTGGAATATGCAGACATCGTTCTTATGTCCGAAGAGGAGAAGGCACAGGTGTTTTTGGATGAACTGACCTAAGCCATCCCGTCCTTTGGTATGCACTTTGCACCCACAAAGTGTAAGATCATCCTCGTGGACGTGCAGTCACTGAACACGCCGCTTACGATCCAGGGAGAGGTACTGTAAGTTGTGGAAGTTCTGCAAGGCTCGGGCCGCCTAAGCTAACTTGAGACACCTATGGCGTCAGAGAGAATCTTGTACTAGCGCCTGGCATTTTGAAAACGTGAAAGACAGCCATGTAGCTAAGATATTTAGATCATACTGTGCTGTTCACATACCTTCGGAGTCTCATTCAAAGGTAGCTACATCGTCCGTGTGCTAAACACTCTACAAGTCGACACTCACCCAGAGGCATCAAGGATGATTAGGGATTGCCCCACCACTGACTCAAAAAGCTGGGGAGAAATGAGGGGAGTGAACAGCCTTATTGTAGACCCCGGTTCATCTATAGGATGAGAAAGTGTTGCTTTTAAATTACATAGAACAAGTTTGATCAACACAACGCCATATTTCTCGACCAGTCAAAAACAGACTCTCGGTCAAGAACTACAGCCGTCAGTTCCTGCAAGATGTGACGCTGTCAAAGCACCTGCTAAGTGTGAAAATGCAGACTGAAGTTACAGTCAGCCTTCTTCTAGTGGGGTTCCAATAACCTTTGTGGGTCAGAGAGTACCCTAGAGGCTAAGGATACCAGGTTGATACTAAGACGACTGCATATCGTTCGGGTATCCTCTTTAAAGACCGAAATGATGGTAGAAGTGTCATACAACCAACCATACCAACCATACAACCTAACTATATTTAAAGCCTTAGGGTGAAAAGAAAAGAGTGGATGAAGGAGGGGAACTGGTGCTGACTTATCACAAGAATTCTATGGTGCCTACACCTCCAAGCGCATAATCAGATAGTCTGAAGAGGGAGTGACAGCACGAAAGCCACTGATATCGATCAGCAGCCACTTATTGCAGTACTTCCAGCCAAGGGCAGGGGGTTACGGAGACTCCACCCTTGAGAGCGACCCGAACCAATAACACCCAAACTGTTCACCTCTTGCAAAACCCTCTGTCAAATCATACACCTCGCGGTTCGCACCACGGAGAACAACACTCGTCTGGGTTGGCGATGTTTCGGCATGCGTGGAACATGGCCGAGTCATTGCAGTCGACGGCGCTGGATGCTTTCCAAGGCTGAAGTACCAGCTGCACAACCGAACACTAGTCACGAATTTGTTGACGCCATCCGACACCAGCAACCCTTCTGAGGCATCGGTGGCCAGAAAGCTGAAAATGCCTTACACCATCTATTTGCAGAGGCCGCAGAGAATTTGCACTGTACTTTAGGAAGGTGCATCATGATGCTTACGTCTCATTAGTCCCTCTGGGTAGTGCAAGGTTCCAGCTGAACTGTTTTTCAAGGTGCCCAAGTGTGTCTTTCTGGAAAACGGTTTTGAGAGCGGATTACTGGGCCGTCATTTTCGTTTAGTGACTCATGGACTTACCATTTTTTATGACTGTTCGACTGAAGCGGCTTACGCGGAATACGACCATCACCAGCTGCCAGAACTTTCCCGAGTTTTCATTATTCATCACTGCTATCAGTCTTCTTTTTGAATCTTTAAAAGGCATCTGAACAATTCGCATACAA